AATGATTCTATGATTCTATGATCTGTAGATCATAGCATCCTATACAAACTGTACAGTTGAATACCTTCACAGGAGCAGCATATCTGAATGAGGACCTGCTGTGATGCTGATGACCTGGTGATGTAAGCCAATTTAGCAACTTATAATGAGGGTGAGCTCTTGGCGTCTGTGGCTAAAATGAAAAACTTTGGAAGGTAATGAGATTCCTAGCTGATTCTAGGAGATCAGAAAGCTACTGAAACAAAGACTGTCTTTATTCAACTGCATTTTGTTAACCTTTGAGAAAAACTCTCTCTGTGATTCGTGCCTGCTGTAACTCCAAAATGCACAGGAAAACCATGTGGGAAGCTAACAGTAGTATAGAAGGTGTCAAGCATCTTATTTGGTAATTGCGATATGCTACAAGGAAGAAGTGCCAGTCAGCTCCAGGTCTACTCTGAGCTGTTTCATTTAAAAAATGGGTCATGCCCTAATGGCTTTGGAGCCACCCTACATGGGGCAGCCCTGGGCAAGCGTTCTTCTCCGGGATGCTATCCACGCTCTAATCGATATTCAGCATGTCACACACTTGGGCATGCTGCAGTCTTACCAGATGGGTAATTAAAACAGGCTGATGCAGCTAGGAAAGAGATTATTGTCTTAAGGAAGCAAGATGTCAAGGAGGCCTTTTGAAGACCTGCTGATTTATGATTACAGCATGAGAGGGAAAAATGAGGTTGTGCAATCAATGCCATAGCTGATTACTGCTTGCAACTCCCGAGACTACATTTTCAGAATTAAGTTAAGAGCATGCACAGAATCTTGAATGAATCACTGCTGTTGTGACATTCCTTAAGTTGATGCATTAGAACTAATCAGTCATTTTTAACCTTATTTTTATTTTTACATTTTCTTGAAGACAGACCTTATTTTTCTCTTAATGAAGCTAGTTTTAGTTTTTAATAATGAAGAAAAAAAGAAAAAGATAGACGTGTGAGATTGTACCCATCCATTCCTGCATTCCGTTCCTTCGCTCACTTCTCCACATCTTCCAGCTAGAAAGCTAGGAGTCATAGCCAAACACCACACAAGTCCACGGACCCAAGTGCTACATGAAGGATGTTTTCCTAGCAGTTCTGGCTTTGTACTTGCTTCCTGTATTGGCTGTAGAATTGCTATGAAAGTAATCCTGTGGATATCTCCAGCTTAGCTTGCGGTAAATCATGCTACAGTGTATTTACCTTTGACTCATCTATGGTTTTAAGAACTGTTACCGATTTCCTTCCTCAAAATATTGCGGCACAGGCTCCTTTCGAAGAGTTAAAACATAGGCTTCAAAGAAATGGCACATATATTTAAAGCGGTTAACTGACCTGCAGACCACATCTTACCTTAACAATACATATTTCAATTTTTTTGCAAACATATTTGCTCACTCTATCCTCCAAAACTCCCGAACAAGTTGATAACTTCTATGATAAATATCTGTATCATATCCTTTTATTGTATCTGTTCTACAGGCAAATAAACAAAGTGTATTTTCTCCAAGGTGCATGGATTTAACAGTGGACAGTGAAAAAGAAAAATGCATTTTACTTCACACTCTTTGGTCTAACCAACAATGATTTCACTAAGATTTGCCAAGGGACCAAAGAAAGACCTTTATGGGCAAAAGAAAGTGAGATTCTCCTAATGAAAAAGCCTGTAGATCATCTTTACCTACCTTAGAACAAAGACTAAAATACTGGTAAAACATTTCTGGCTTCACTTTTACAGCTACTGTTGTCACCTTTATCAATGACTACTATAGATAATTAGTAACTGACAGAAAATATGGCAGCTCTTTGAATTCATAAGACTCAGAGAATTTTACCTTGGGCAGTGTGAGGCTGGTTTTTGAAATGGGCACAATTGTTCCACTGTTGTTTCACAGGTGATAGCTTGAACTGAAGAAAGTAAACCAGAAACAAATAAATGTGTGCTATTTACAAAAAACATAACCAAAAGTAGTACTGAGTTTATAAGAAATAAATGCTAACCTGTTACTTTAGAGACAGTAAAGGAGTTAGCAGACTGGTATTTTCTGAAAAAGAAACAATAGAAATAGTCAGTAAATAACATCTCTCAATGATTTCTTCTAGCTAGGAGAATTGTTATTAGAGATTCTAGAAAAAAACTCAAGACATTGTCCCCAATCACTTCTTACTCACTGCACCCCCTCTCCCCAGTTGTGAATCTGCTTATTGCAATGACACATTTACTTTGTACTCCCAGTGAATCTGTTTGAAAACCAGGAATGCATGTTAAACCCTTTCAGCAATTTAATTTGCTAAGAGAGTAAGTGTGCTAGGAACAAATTATGCAATCTATTTGTCCCTCAAAATGTAGCAACCAAATCTGTGGTTGAGAATTGCTCAGGAGCATCCATCTACCGGAAGAGATCATTTGCTTCCCCCCCAAAATTTCATTCCTACAGACAGCTCCAACACTGAGAAGAGTTTCTCCTGCAGCCTTTTTGAAAAATTTCATTAAATTGTACTTTTGGATCTTGTGTCTATGTTAAATTATCACCAGTATCACTATAAATCCAGTATAACATGTAACAGTCTGTTTTTCTCAATGATATATGGTACTCAGATATATGTTTCCTGTTGTTATATAAAGTCAGGCATATACATTCTGTTGTAACATTACAATCGATAAACACTTCTATTTTACTCCTCTTTTATCTCCTATTTTAGTCCTCTTTTACTCCTCTTTTAACTCATTGGATATGCCTCTGATTCTAGTATCTTTCATCTGTTACAAAAAAGCTGATCATGCTTTTGGCACCCATAAAGTTATTTATTATTTAAAAAAAAAACAAGGTAATTATTCCCTATTTATCTTTGGAGCAAATTACTCCTGTGTGCTCCATAGCACTGCAATTTGTATTCAGAAACTGTACACTTGCATTGGTTTATTTAGTTGTATGGCCCACCAATTTCACATCTGCTCATTTATTGGATTCCAGTTTGCTTTCATGGAGTTAGCTTATACTTCTGTTACCCTAGCATTGTCAAACACTGACGTGGGAATAGTTCACTATGTTGTATTGTTGATTAGCTTTCTAAGATATTGTTAAAAATGGTATTCTATACTATGAAAATGCACAGTATTCTATACTATGAAAATGTTGAAAAAACATCTGTATTGGTAATCCTGATTATAAATCAAAGGAGCTGAAGATTAGGAAATTTGTTGCATGTTGCACTGACATTCCCTTTTCTGCCTTTCTGTTTTGCAATATGCGCTAGAGGTGAGATCCACTTCATTTCATCTATTCACTGAATAGATATATAGTTTATGCAAGGTTTCATCTAGAGACACTGGTGAGAGTCAGGTAGCTGCAGGGTATCCCCAGCCTTATTGATGGGCCTTTTGAAGGTTGAAACTTTGGTATATCATCTTTATTTATCCCAAACACTTTGATTTATAGACTGACTTATAAAGCTGATGCCTGATCACAGGCATGATGTCCTAAATACTATAGGACATTAATGAAGAATTATGTTGTTTGTGCGCACACATAGCAGCAGGAGTTTCGAGAAATATACTTGTAGATAGGAAGGTATAGATTTGGTCCTTTAACATTCTTTTATCTATAAGGCATCTAATTTTTTTTTACAACATCTGAATCACAAAACCAAAACCAAAATGGCTATTACTGTTCAGCAATGATACGATTATCCATGCCCACAGCAAACAAAACCAAGTGTTAATACCTCGCTCTGAGTTCCGATTCTCAGAGGACAGGTGCTAAATACACTCTGTAGACTGGGCACTCGTACAGTTTTGTCCCAGATGGCATAGAAACACAGAGATTTCCAGTGAGGGAAATCAATTCCTTCTAGCTTGAAGATTTTCTACAGTTTCTACAGTTACGCCTGTATTTGTAAGAAAGCTGGCTCCTAACATGTTAGTATTGATATAATCAAGGTTTACTTCTCTCTTTGTCTCAAAGTATTTAAAAAAGAGATATTTGTCTGTATCTTCATTTTTTGGGAGGGGGAGTAACTTAAACCACAGTCAGATCATCGGATGACCCAAAGAAACAGATTAATATCAACGGCTTAAGTGCTACCCAGGTAGCCCAAATTATAGGCCACTGAATTTAGTCTGCCTGTTCAGTGTCTCTCTCTATCCTGGATTAAGTAAATATGTTGAAAAGGGAAATTATTAAAGGTGTCATAGCATGTGGCATTTGTTTGCACAGCACAGAGTGAGAGCACAGCCTCTAACGATTACCTATCTCCTTACCCTCGGGTTCACACCTGCGCCAAATATATCACTGAGCAAAATTCCTTTTTCTTTCAGTCCGCTATTACTCGTACATTAACTGTTACACACATACTACTATTACACATATACTAACTATAGACAGAAATAAGGACAGCGATGTACATCTCTGCAGAATACATTAAGATATAGTGAAGTGTAATTTGCAAATACTAATAATACCTTAGATCCAAACCTACTAATATTGATATCGTTCCTATCATTGGATAATTACGTATGGAAACAGCCCAGTATTCTCCACTTTTATGCACTGTTTTTCTGGTTTTTCTTTTAGCATGTCAACAAGTACTTGGACCTGTTTTCACGTGCCAGTTTTAGGACAAGCACCTGAACAATGTAGTACACCTCCAAATGACACTTCAACAATATGCGATATTATTCCACCAATGGCCAATGCAGAAATTGTGCAAAATATTGGTGCAAAATATCATATGTAAATTGCAGAATTGTGATGAAACTATCCAACATATAGGAAGAGGTGTATTTTCTACTTGGTTGATATTGTTCATATGCACAGTACAAGAGGATCACTTCCAAACACAAACTTGAAAGATTATTGCCTTGTTAGCTGTCATAGATTACTGTGTCCATGCGCCAACCCTGGAAATATTATCAGTTTTGTCCAAAACATGTAAAACAATGCAGTTCAGTGCCAGTATGTACTAGTTTTCTACAATATATACACTTACAAGTGAATTAACTGAACACTCCAAATATTGAGATTATTTAACTACAAATACTAACTTACTGCCCAAGTGATTTTGTAAATTATTTCATCTTCTTTCGCATCTTTACTGCATCACTTTTCTGTGCACCACTAGACACTGGCTAAAGTTTCAGAATGGATACAATACCTGTACATCCACATGCCTTTTTATAGCATTTTCATATTCTTTATGATAAAAAGTATGAATAAAATGTTATTACTGTGATATATTTTGTATGAAATAAAGAAAAACAGATGAAAAACTTTAATACATTTTAATTTTAAGAAAACTTACCCAATTGACTGAATGCCATTTCTGTAAGACTTGATAAAGTAATTTTTCCTTCCTTGCCTAGTGACATCAACCCAACCACCTTCATTGTCTAGGACGCCATAATGTATGGCAGCTTTACAAATACTGGATTGCTGAAAAACAAGAGCAGGAAAAGCAGTTCCATGTCAGACAAATTCAGTATTTCACATTGTAATTTATTTGTGAAAAAATCAGGTTTTAATTACAATGTGTCATTAAAAACTTGGTAGATAGTCTATTAAGTTTGATGTGGTCTATGCAGGTATTGTTTCAAATGAAGAAAACACCACTTTGCCTTACTCAGAGACACACTATACTCCCTTACAGTATACTTGTTCACAGTAGCTGTTATTTCCTATACTGTTTTTCAGTTCTACAGAGTAAATTATATATTTTCAACTAGCATTACGCTTACACAAGTAGGCTTGCCTTACTGAAACAGTTTATATGAATATACAGAAATTGCTGTATTTCTCCTTAAGTCACACCTTCGCATACTTATACCCAAATATGTGGACACAAAAATTCCACTTCTGTGCATGTTTAAGAAGTATGAAGTACATTTGGACAGTACATGCAGAACAGCAGATGCAAACTTAGAACGTCCGATGCTATCTTAAACATTTGGTGTAGACTTTTATTTTTGGTGAATATTGATTTCATCAAAAACCATTCTTAATATGATTTTAACTAGTATTCTAACAGAAAAGATATTTCATTAAACAATCTACTGGTACAAAATCTAATTTTAAAATGTTTACCATTTCATAATGTACACTTCCAATAACTTTGGCTTTGCTATCCAAACAGCCAGCAGGACATTCATACCTAAGAAAACAAAATACAACTTGGTCTTAAATCCTGGGATTATATTCCAGGAAAAATATTCCAGCTCACATACAAATATAGCCTTTTATAATAATCTCAGAATGACAACTGTAAAATTTACCATACCTATTGCAAGTTGTTCCTTTGCACTGATCTCTTAGCCGTACTTCACATGAAACAATCTGAGCTAAAACAAGCAAAAAGCAATTTCACTGCAATGAATTTGATACTATATAATTCAAATTTGTTGATCACTTGCAAATCAGGTAAATTGCTTACACATTTGCTGTGTGCTTATTACTTCATTTTTCTCACTGCCATCACTGCCTGTGGAGCCTGAAGGTGAGTGAGTTCTTGGCCGGCTTTGCACTGTTGCATCCTGGGCTTTGGATCGCTGCCGTTCAATCTCATTGGTTTCCTCTTCTGGTTCGTGGGGAGAATAAGGCCTTTCTGAATCCTCTGTTTCAGAAAACAGGCAAAAAATAATCTCTGAGGCAAAAAAATTCAGTGTTTGTGGAATGTAAATCCCTTACCATGTTTTGGTAACATGGCTTTGTTCTCACAAAATGGTGGATGAATAATAAGCAAGCAAGCAAGGAAAACTTTCCACTGCTTCATAAGATGAAGACCTCAAGCTTAACAATACATCTCAAGTATCTTTTTGATGCTGAGAAAAGGTAGAATTTTTCTGGCACAGGCAGCACAATTGAGGTATGAAAGTGCTCTTAACACTCCTGTTTTAGTATCATCATCTTTATGCCATTAAAAACCAATAGAACAAAGGTGATATTTCTCTTGTACATTGGAAGAGTTTTAGCAAGCTCATAGATAACTTGTAATTAAAGACGACGATTTCATAAAAACATACACCTGAAAATGAGGCCCTTCCATTCATACATAATGAAAATAATTTTGAAATACTCATCACTGAATCTACATTTCTTATTTAAGCAAGAACCATAAAGAAGGTATTTGGGCACACTGGTGCAGCTTTTATGGTCCATATGAATAGATGAATAACTTTCAAAAGTTACTAACAAAAACTGCTAAATTACTTGTACATAGAGTAGAATAAAAAGAAACAGCAGCTTCTTAATATGCTGTGTTTCAATGCTATAAAATACGAATAGCATTATGAAAATTGTAAGAAGTTAATAATCATCCTAGCTGACATTTTGTTTAATTACTAATGTCTTCTAGTCTTGTTCTTGATTTTTCTTATGGCAATGCAGATGGCTATGTCACTGAGATAACATGTTTCCATATAAACAAATCACTGCATAGACTTCCACTATAATTACAGAAAGGCATACAAAAAGCACACAGCGACAGTCTACATCTTTGTGTACTAAAAGCCCTCAATCAGCACTTAAATCAGCAGGACTTCAGTACACTCCACTCCCTCTGGTGAGGCTCAGCCTCACGTATCATAAGTACATGACCTCATTCATTATAGTAAAGTAGGCCCCCTAGCAGCATAATATATGCTATTCCACTATGTTAAAGGATAATGAGGAAACAAAGCAAAAGAAAGGTTACATTTCTCTGCCCAAGGCCGGCTTGGGCTTAGCAACCATGAAA